TAATGCAGAATAAAAATTCACAGTGGTTCTAAATAATTACGATTGCAAAACACATTCATTAGTGCGTGACGTCGTATTGTTTAATTTACATTGAATTTTTGTTAGCCTTAACATCGATGAAAATTCAACGCGAAGTAGGTTAATAGCAATATAATAATATACTAATTACATGAGATTTACTAATATACTATACTAATAATGTATTTTTCATATTTTTCGGTTATCCGTTTTTTCAGTAATCCGACCAACCTCAGTCCCTAATTGAGTCGGATAATCGATGCTCTAGTGTACTAAAATATTCTTAATGATTCACTACAGATAATCACTTAATGTTTTCAGCACTTTTACCTTTATACAAAAAAAATGAAAATCAAACAACTAATGGTATATCACAATGTACAGATTTACAAATTGTGGTTACCACCCAGTTCTTTCAAGTATCAAGCAATTCGGAAAACGTACATTGGTATATAGGTTTACGGAAAACGAATTAGTTCGTTTAAATAATTAATTGCTAATTGGAAATACAATGACATACGACAACGTAAAACCATTTAGACGTATTGTTTATTTAGTAACGAAATTTTTTACATATGAATATTTTTTCAAAGTGCAAGCATAAAATATGTATATTGATTATTAATTAATGACAAAAACAAAATTGTTAATAATTAATTTAAAAGTGATAGAGCCATAAAAAGTTTAGTATAATTTAGTTAGTTCGATATATTTTACGAATGTTATAAAATCGTAGTGTACCAACCTCGACATTCGAACAAAATGCACCACAAAGTACTTTTCCAGAGTCTAAACGTTGAGATCCGCTTATTATNACATACGACAACGTAAAACCATTTAGACGTATTGTTTATTTAGAATCGAAATTTTTACATACTAAACATTTTTTCAAAGTGCAAGCATAAAATATGTATATTGATTATTAATTAATGACAAAAACAAAATTGTTAATAATTAATTTAAAAGTGATAGAGCCATAAAAAGTTTAGTATAATTTAGTTAGTTCGATATATTTTACGAATGTTATAAAATCGTAGTGTACCAACCTCGACATTCGAACAAAATGCACCACAAAGTACTTTTCCAGAGTCTAAACGTTGAGATCCGCTTATTATATTGTGTTTTACGTACTATTAAATTGCAATAGAGATTCTACATAAATATACTTTTGCTATTTAGGGAACTATATAATTATAAGCTATAAGCGGATTGATGCAAAAATTAAAATGCAGACAATGCAAACAATGCGAAAAGCATTTTGCAGAAAAAAAAAATTACTTCAATATCTTGTGCAAGTAGTCGATATACAGAAAATTGTACGAAAGAAACGAAAAACACGCGTTTATTTTCATTTGTTACATGAGAAAGTTTATTGATGTAACAAATGTTGCTCAATGTGTGCTGCATTGCTCAGGTATAAAAGTTAAAAAAAATACGAGTTAAAGCAGTGGTTCCCAACCTTTTTTCATTAGCGTACCCCGTGACATGTCATATCTCTAGATTGTACCCCTCATTTAAGAAATTTAGTGAGTAACTGTTAATTTTACATATTGTAACTTTAAATTAAAGAAAAAAACCTAAAAGAAAAAATGTATAATAAAGTTGTGATTGTTGCAAGAAACATTTTTTATCTAATAATTTTTTAATACTATTAGTTTGTGATACATAATATATTATTTTTTCTGCCATAATAACTAACTTCTTTCTGTACCCCTAAACAACCTATCGCGTACCCCTAGGGGTACGCGTACCACAGGTTGGGAATCGCTGAGTTAAAGGAAATAACCAGTTGATTTTTCAAGTAATTTTAATGTAACAAATTAAAATCAGTTTTTACCATTTACTATGTTTTGTTTTGTATACTCTCGTATTAAGTGCCCCAAAAGAAATTTTGATAAAAAAATTTTTTTCTCAGAATATTTTTTCGCACTTTTTGCTTAATTGGTATGCAAATTTTTGTATTAATTTTCATACCGGTAATAGTTACAAAATGCTCGAAATACCAAAACTTTAACTATGAAAAGACTATTTAAATTTTTATGTATATCCATGTGTAGATGTTGCTTACAGAAATCCATCATAAAATACATTAAAGTGAAACGTTAGCTTGTTTATTGTTATTAATCATAATGACATTAATTACAATGTAATAAAACAGGTCTAATTAGTGCTGCTAATATTGTAAGATGATAATGATGCCTTTCTTGAAATGCAATGTCTACTTTTTCCATTCATTATATCTCGAATTTGTAACATCATGTTGAAAATGGTACGCAATCCATTATACACCTGAAAAATTAAAATGGCAAAGAAATGTAAAATTATGCAATTAGCTTTACAATTATTTAAAATATAATAACAACTTCAACATCCATTAATTAGTATGGATATTTTTAACCTGAACAGGAGTTTCTTTCGACATTATGAAACAACCTCCAATACTGGCACCGATTACGTTCTCTCTAAATGTCTTCATGAAATCCAATATCTGTTTACAAAAAATTTAATAAAGTAAATTTGTTTCGATAAATAAAAAAAAATACTTATATAAATATATATATAATTTAGCTGAAATACTTTGAGCTTATCTGTTATAGAGAGCGGTAATGCATTCATAATTCTTATTTCTTGAAACGAATCATAAGCCTGTAAAATAAAAATAAACACATACATAAAAACCATTAACAAATACCTATGTTAAAGCAATTAATATTATTAACTTACAGATCCAGAAACGTGAGAAGTAGCAAAAGAAGCCACAATAGCAATACTGACAGCAAAAATAGTGGAAATGCACATGGCGACATACAGGAGAACTGGCATATCAGGAAATACTGTGTTGTATATGAGAAAGCAAACTAAGCACAGCAAAATACCGTAAACGAGAAAAACGTATTCGCTCCACTTATCGTTGATCTGATTGATAAAATCGCACAATTCGACATGCGAACAAATTAATTTATGGATATCTCGCTTCGAACAATTAACGAAAAGTCGTTGCAATCGACGCGACAGAACGTTAAATCTTTCGATAATCGCAAATGCCCCTACATGAAGAATCAACAACGCCCACATGAATAGAGCAAATTCGTAAATGAAGCAAACATTGAAATATACGACGCAGAAAAGAGCTCTTTTATAACTCGATTTTCGTTCCACGACATTACTTATTACATAACTTGATACAATTACAATGGGAATCAAACCGAAGCAATACATTATTAAGAGGATGTTTCGCATTATGATTTGATTTCTGCAGATTTTTTCTTTTTCACCGCGATAACCGGAAATTTGGAGATCGAATACAAGTTTAGCTTTTCTTCCATTATGTGTCAATAATGCCACGCTCAAGGAAAAGCAGGCAAATATTCCCTTCATGAATAGGGCGTTGTCTCTTCCACCCACATCTCCCATAGGACTACATGCGATAATTTCGTCATCGGAAGAAAATGTGTGAATACATATCATTGCCATATGACTGAAGAGAATTGCCTCTATTATTTTTCCGTAAATAGACATAATTTTGGTTTTTTTGGGAGATAATCGATGATTTTCGCATCGTTCGGCAAAATTATCACCGAAAAGCAGCCCAATTCTGTAAGACGGATAAAGCATGCAAAACAAGCAATCTTCCTCCATTTTCTATCATAAATGGCTTAAAATTGCCTACGTTATCTATAAATAAAATAAACATTAATAATTTATATAACATGCCTTACTTATATATTGTAGATATATATATATTTTTTGTCTCGTTTGACGTCCCCAAGCTTTATTCATTACAAACACTTACATAAGTGCATTAACTAAGAATGTGAAGTTAATTAATTGATCTATTTTAATTATAAGAGATCGATAATGACATAAATGAAGCAGTACTAAGTAGCTTAATTTATTAATATCATTAAGTTTGCGTAAAGTCAACATATTTTATGCTGCTTCTTAATTTTTAATACTGTAAACAATTTTATTCCTTGCATTTAGTATTATACGCAGATTTTTAATTTATTATAGTCTACAGGAAGATTCAAAAGTCTTTGAAGATTTGAAAAATCGATATTTTCAGTGAATTTTTGGAGCGAGGTAACGAGCTAACACGTAAATGTATCGAATAACGCATATGTTTACATTTATCATGCCTGGCGGCCTTACTCCCCCAGATTCGTAAGTTGGTGAAGGTTGTCTCCTGTCTACTTTCTGTAGAAGTGACGTAAACATTGTAAATACAGTAGAGCCTCGATTATCCGACTCAATTGGGGACTGGGGTTGGTCGGATAATTCAAAAGTCGGATAACCGAAAAGTATGAAAAAATCCATTATTAGTGTAGTATATTATTATATCCCATGTAATTAGTATATCGCTATTAACCTACTTCGCGTTGAATTTTCATCGATGTTAAGCCTAACAAAAATTTTTTAAAATAATAATCGTCGCTATTGTATCGTTAAAAATTAGAAAATTAAGCCTCGTTTAAATACTGGCTCCCTTTCATGGTCGAATGAGTGTTGCCAGCTAAAACACGTAAAAATAATATTAAAGTAGCCAAGACATAGCCAAATATTGTAGCGCCACATCACTAGCAGACATTTGAAATTTGCCGACTAGGACGGTCGGTTAACCGAGGTGTCGGTTAATCGGGGGTCGGATAATGAAGGCTCTACTGTGAGAGGAAATTTCAATATATCTTTTATTTAAAATAATTTTAAAATTCGTTTTTCAAATATACCCCCAAATATTAAAGCGAATTAAAATATTTGCATTTGATAAATGAAGTTAATCTACGTGTAATACATTTAAACAAATAAAATTTTAAGAAACAACAAAACAATAAAAAAATGTAGAAATATTTTTTTATTCATTTTCAGATTTATTACATATGTTATTTCCATTGACCGATATTCAATTTTAATAGCACTATTTATTATTAGTATGCATCAGAAAAAAAAACCATAACTTCCGTAAAAGAAACTTTCCTCAGAGGGTCCGTTTCACTCTGAAAAACCAACAGTCTAGGTCAGAAATCTATTGTGTGTCCTACTTTCTCTAAAACAGTAAAACGAAGTAAGTTACAGTACAATGATAGACATAAACACTAACAATAATAATAATAACAAATTATTAAAGTATAAGTTCTTCTAAAATCCTTAATCGGTCTTTGACGTTTTTCTACGTAATAGCATTAGAATCGGTAGAAATGTCTAATCAACACGCTTATAAACACTAAAAGACATAAATATTTCGAAATTCGGACTAGTTTAATTAATACACAATAACTAATTTGTTTACTGTAATGTACTATCACAAATAAGCTAATTAGATATGAAAAGTTCACCGGGTAAATTCTAGCCAAGGTGATAAATATGGAACGATCAGGTGACCGAAAGCTAACACCAACAAATATGAAGAAATATGTTTAAAATTTAATGTTTCTGTACAATTTTATAAATTTTAACAAATTTCATCAAACACAACAGAATAATTTTCAGCTTACATAAACTGTACAGTAAATAATTATTTCTTCGAAAGAAGTCAATATACACGAATAAATAATTACTTTTAATAATGCGTTTAACATTGATATTGTAAACATTATGCTGTTTAGTTTGGATTGGCTTTTATGGAAATCGGAAAGAGCATAATTTTTAAAATATCAACTTTAAATGGATAAAAGCATTATTAAATAATTATTATTTCTTTTATAGTATAGAAGGTATAAAAAAAATACCTACATGATCGCCTTAAATATATACTGTATATACAAAAACTACTAACAATACTGAACGTGAAATCAAATTAAAAGGATTAGAATATAAGTTTATTATTAATAATTACCAAATAAATTATTTAAAAATTTGGCTTAAACAATAATATGAAAATAGATTTAACACAAAATATAAAAAAAATAAAAATTATAAAGCCTTTCCCTATATTAAAAATACTGTTACCTGCGACATCGTCCGCGAAGAGGTTTTGCAGGAAAACCCCATATATATTCAGTATTTCAACAACCATAGTAATTGTTATATAACAGCTACCGCTGACAATGATGAGAATTGCCGAAAATCAAAGGAACTACAGTATTTGCAATTTGGTCAATTTTCTGGAACGTATAAGTCATTTAATCCAGCGATTCCCAACCTGTGGTACGCGTACCCCTAGGGGTACGCGATAGCTTGTTTAGGGGTACAGAAAAAAGTAAGTTATTATGGCAGAAAAAATAATATATTATGTATCACAAACTAATAGTATTAAAAAATTATTAGATAAAAAATGTTCCTTGCAACAATCACAACTTTATTATACATTTTTTCTTTTAGGTTTTTTTCTTTAATTTAAGGTTACAATATGTAAAATTAACAATACAGGTACTCACTAAATTTCTTAAATGAGGGGTACAATCTAGAGATATGACATGTCACGGGGTACGCTAATGAAAAAAGGTTGGAAACCACTGATTTAATCAATTAATCGAATTAATATACAATAACAAATTCGAATACCTTTATCAAAAAGTTTTTCTTTATATAGAAAAATCCTGCCAAAAGGTCTATACCAAAAGGTCTTTCTCCGAATCTCTTCATGAGCAAATTATCTATAATGATTCAATTATAAAAACAAATATTTCAAATACTTCGTAAAATTAACGAAAATCACATAAAAAACAAAAATTCTGATTATGCAACGTCGTCTCAGATGCCTTTTTTCACACCTAAACTAATTGAAAACACAATGAGATTCTTATCTTTCACTTGGGGCTATGCATCTCAGTAAAGCATTTTCATGCATTCGCCAGTAAATATATCATCTTACTTAAATTAAGTCCAAGTTTAAAATTAAAAGTGAATCTCCAGTAATTTTCAGAATACATTTTTGAGTGACAAGACAAGTGAAGACATTGTTTGCATAATCTTTGTTGGTGTTTTTATTATCTTTAATATTTTAAAATTTTTAAATTAAAACGTTAAATACTTTGAATATGTATGCCACGGAGTTTAAAGAAGAATAAAATTTTCCGATGGAAATAAAATTATCGTATATCTGAAAAATAATAATTGTTTATTGTAAATATAACAGTAGATATTCAAATTAACAAAAATACTGTATTTTTACAAATATAAAGTGGTAATTACAATTGAAGTGAAATTCGAAAATGCCCACGCAGCTGATAACGTTAGAAACAATAATACAGTAGAGCGTCGTTTATCCGAAAGTCGGTTATCCGAAAGAATTCCAGTCGGCCTAAAGTATAATTTTTATTTGTTTAATATTTTTCAATGTATTTATTTCGTTTGTAAAACATAAAAAAATCAGTTTTAACGATACAATAGCCGCGATTATTATTTTAATAAGTTTACGTTAGGCTTAACATCGACGAAAATTCAACGCGAAGCGACACGCAACGGAGAAAAATTTCAACACGGGATAGGTTAATATATTTTTTCGTACATAATCGGTTATCCGAAAATTAAGTTATCCGAACAACCCCAGTACCCAATTGATTCGGATAAACGACGCTCTACTGTAGTGCACCGAAGCATAGAAAAACAACACTCGAAAAGCTTGATGACTCAAAGATGATTGTAATGTTTGACAGTCATCTCTGCTTCATCATGCTATGCAATACAGACTTATACAGACTTTACATGGCAAAATTTGGTGTGAAATATCGCAGCCCGAAAATTGAAATTTAAAATTTTGGCTTCGTGTCGACATTAGCTTCGCTGTGTTGTACATGTTTGCAAAAAACCATGTTGTTAATGGTCGTTCGGTTCGTTTGAAGTTTCATCACTGAAAAAACACGTTTTGACTTATAAAGAATTTCGTTTAATTGATTAACCTCACAATTTGTATGGTTTAATTTTCCCTTTAAATATTAAAAATATATAACGGTAATTTCTCAACTTTTATCTCCATAATATGATTATAGTCTATCTTTCAATATTTATCCTTCTCGTTTTAAGTAATATAACTTACGTAACTTTTACACAGAGGAGTTGTCTGTGATATATATGCTATAGAATCTGAATAAATACTTAGAAGTCATCGCAGAACATTCTTGATAATCCAACATTAATAATCAGATAAAGATACTTTTAAGTTTATACAACACGTCTTGTTATATTAAATATAATGTGAAAATCTATGTATATTTTACAGACTGAATTATTCTTGAAACAATAAACGTATTGGCAATCATACTCAGGAACATAGTTGAAAATTAAGAGATCAAATGATTTAATATAGATTTTTTTATCAAACAGAATATGCACATTTATTCAAGAATATATGAACTCTAGTTCGTTACATTAATAACACAGATTTTACTTTCGTAAGTATTCATTTTTTATATGAAATAATTATTTCCATTTAAACGCGAATCTAACATCCAAAAAAATTGCCGAGAAATCACGCGAAATAAAAACCCCTCTAAAAAGTGCTTTTAGAGGGGTTTTTATACCAACTGTTTTCTTCTAACACAAATGATAAATGTGTTTTATACGAAGTAACAAACATCGAGGACACAATTAATCTTCTACTAAACACCTTATGTCCAGAAGACGATCCCTTAGAAGATAACTCAACCCAACACTCTATTAGGGAACAGACTAACGCTCTCCTGCAATGACCTTGCCCACATCCCTTCACTGCCTTGGAGCTTGATGAGGCTGTTAAAAGACTTGCCTCTCGTAAGGCTCCGGGGATTGATGGAATAACTGCGGACATAGTTCGGAAGATTTGGGAGCATCGCCCGAATATTCTTTTAATTTTATACAGCTACTGTCTCAGGTACAATTTTTTTTTCTTCTGAATGGAAAAAGGCTAGAATTGTTCTGATCCCAAAGGCTAAAGACACACCAATTAAATCACCCGGAGACTACAGGAACATTTCTTTGCTACCTATATTGGGCAAGGTTTTGGAAAAGTTAATTACGAATAGGATGATCTGGTACTTAGAGAAAAATGATTATTTACGCAATCAATAGTTTGGCTTTCGGTCTGGTGCCTGCACTTCTGATGCCATTCTCTCTGTGACAAACAAAATCAAGGAGCTGCAAACTAATTACCCATATATACTGGGTATTAGCCTTGATATAGCATTTACGTTCAACTCGGCCTGGTGGCCAATGGTGCTGTTGAGACTCAGGCAAAACCAGTGCCCAGCCTACATCTTTAATATCATAAGAAACTACCTGAAAAGACGTTCTGCTACATTACAAGTGGGCTCTAAGTCTTATACACGGCAAATAACTCACGGGTGCCCTCAGGGCTCCGTACTGGGATCGTTTCTTTGGAATCTACTATTCAATAACTTTCTAAGAGAAAACATCAGAAGTGACTGGACAGTGGCTTATGCGGATGATGCCATGGTGTTGGTGACGGCTTTTTCCCGGGCTGAACTAGAAAAGAAGGCCAATGATGTGCTTGAGAAAATCCTGCAATGGGGTAAAAGGAATAAGATAAAATAAGACCAAAGGGATTATTTTTACTAGGCCCAAAGCACCAGACTTGTACAGAAGAGTCACAACAATAAAAATGGATGTACTAAAGTTAGAGTGGTACAAACTCTGAAATACTTAGGTATTACTCTACACCACAAGCTAAGTTGGCTCCCCCATGTGAAGAATATCTGCAATAAAACTAACCTGCTCTTCAATGTAATGTCAAAGGTGGCAAAGACGAAATGGGGTCTGAGTCCCCAAATCATGAGCGTGATTTATGATTCTGTATTTTTGCTTATGATTTCCTATGCGGCCCCAGTTTGGGCTGAAGGCCTGGGTCAGGTCCACATAAACAGAAAACTTCAAAGGGCCCAACGAAGAGCACTACTTAGAATATGCAGAGTATACTCTACCATTTCAACAGCAGCCATGCAGGTTATCGCCGGAAAATTGCCAATTGTGCAGGATATTAAATTAGCTTCACAAAGATCGAGAATAAGACAAGGCATTGATATAAATATTAATAACGAGGTTTTTTAAAACATTGAACAAAATCTTCACTGTAAACGTGGCCTGGCACCACAAGACTGGCCCTTTATTGCAACCAACCCTTGGCCAGACCAAACTCTTACTATTTTCACGGATGGCTCGAAGCAGGAAGAAAAGGTAGTCTGTGCCATCGTTGCCTATCATGATAATAATGAAGTCCATAACTTCTCGGACATGCTAGGCAACTTCTGCTCTGTATATCAGGCGGAACTTTGGGCTATTCTCTCTGCTATAACGTGGTGTAACGACAACTACAAAAGAGTTAATATTAATCTCTTCACGGACTCTAGTTCGTCAGTACAATGGATTTGTAACTACATTTGGTGCCACTCCATCTTTAACTAAATCTTGCGAGATATATCTAAAAAGTATAACAGTTTTGCAATCATCTGGGTAAGAGGTCATACCAGTGTCTGCGGGAATGAACGAGCAGACGAGCTGGCTCGCTGTGCTTCAACTGCTAACTGCAATCCAAGTTACACAGCAATACCTCACAGCTATATAATCTGGCGACTCAAAGAAAATACACTGACCATTTGGCAGCACAAATGGGATGTTCACAATAGTAGCATAACGAGGGACTTTTTTCCTATAGTTTCAACTTTCATCAGTCATGACATTGGACATAATATTACCCATTTCTATACGGAGCACGGTAGGTTCCAGAGCTATCTCTACAGGTTCAACAAGACATCAGAAGAGAACTGTGAAATTTGCGGTATTTTAGACGGTGTCAAACACTACTTACTACAGTGTCCCATGTTAGATGACATGCGCCAGAACATTATTGTTTCCCTGCCTACGGACATTTCCTGGCCTTGCAACTTGAATGTTATAATAAATGATAAAAAAACTGCCTCAAGTATTTAAAGAACTTGTCAATATGTATTTCAAAAGGACTATGGTAAGGTAAAGTGTACTACAAGTAGCTGTTCTCCAGACAACACTGTTCATCTTTACCAGTTGTAAAAATGAAGCGTGTTTTCGTGTAGGTGCCAAGTTTTTGATTGGCTACTGTACCCGGCATATTTATAAGTTAGATAATTCTTCAATTGCAATTTTGTTAACTGTTCATTATATGTATGGTTTTAATGATTGATCAAAAGAATTGTCAGTCAATAATCTATGTAAATACCAAATTTATTTGTAACTTGGAATTATTATACGCATAAAACTATGTATAAATTACAACTAATGTGAATAATGTTATTAATTTAGGTACTTCACCTCGGTGATGCCTAGCGGTGCCGAGGCTTCTAAAAATAAACAATATTATAAAATAAAGTGACAAGCAATTCAAAAAACATAGTTTAGTATATTTTGCTTACGGGAAACGAATTAGTTTGTTTAATTAATTATTTAATTGCTAATAAGAAATACTCTAAATAAAATAAAACGTAGGCCTACCATTATTTAGACGTATCATTTATTTAGATACACATTTTTACATATAAATATTCTGTCAACGTGCAAGCATATAATGTGTCTATTGATGATTAATTAATGGCAAAAACATAATGGTTGATTATCAATTTACAAGTGATATAGCCATAACACGCTTAGTATAATTCACGAACGAAATGTTTCAAAGTAATTTTGTAATGTCTGAATGTTCAGATCCGCTAATAATAAAAATTATGTTTTAAGAACTATTAAATTGTAATAGCGATTCGACATAAATATAGGTTTTCTATTCATGGCTCTGCATAAAGTTAAGCAATAAGCGGATTAATGCAAAAATTAAATTACCGGCTGTGCATAGAAGAAGAAAAAGCATTTGCAAAGAAAAAATTTACTTCATAAACTTGTGCAAGTGGACAATTTAGAAACAAAAGATACAAACGAAACAACACGCGATAATTTTTATTTGTTACATGCAAGAAATTTATTGATGTAACAAATGTGGCGCTATAGGTGCTCTATTGCTCAGGTGTAAACTTCAAAAAAATAAGCAGTTGATTTTTCACGTAATTTATAATAGAACAAATTAGAATGTAACGTAACATTAGTTTCTACAATTTACTATGTGGTGATTTCTTTCTATCGTATTAAGCACCCAAGCACTAAACTTTTTCTTGTAAAAACTTTTTCGCTTCCTTCAAAACTTTAACTATGGAAACACTATTTAAATTATTTTCTCTATATCTATGTGTAGATATTTCCTACAGAAATCCACCAAAACACATACATTAAAGTAAAATGTTAGCTTGATTAATGTTACTAATCATGATGACATTAATCACAAAGGAATAAACCTTGTCTAATCGGTGCTGCTGACATTGTAAGATGCTAATGACGCATTTCTTGGAACGCAATGTGTACTTTTTCCCTTCATTATATCTCGAATTTCTAACATCATGTTAAAAATGGTATACAATGCATTACACACCTGAAAAATTAAAATAGAAAACAAATTAAAAATTATGCAATTAGATTTACAATTAAATTTAAAACACGCGATTGTATGTACTTGCTTTCAATACATTTAAACGATTAAAATGCTTAAAATATAAAGATAACTTCATTGATAAATTAATATAAATATGCTTAACCTCAACAGGAGTTTCTTTAGAGAGTATGAAACAATCTCCAATACTGACACCGATAGAGTTCTCTCGAAATCTCTTCATGAAATCTAATATGTGTTTATAAAAATATAATAAAGTGAATTTAACACGAAATATGAAAAAATATTTATTGAAACAAAATATAATTTTGTTGTAATACTTTAAGCTTTTCTGTTATAGAAAGCGGTAATGCACTCATAATTCGTATTTCTTGAAAGGAATCATAAGCCTATGGAAAAAATAAATGAATACATTAAAATCTATTAATAAATACGTATGATTAGGTAATTAATGTTATTAACTTACGGCTATATAAAAGCGAGATGTAGCAAAAGAAGCAACAATAGCAATAGTGACAGCAAGAATGGTGGTAAAGCACATCATCACATACAAGGGTAGCAACATATCAGGAAATACAGTGTTGTAGATGAAAAAGCACACCAAAGTTAGCAAAGAACCGTAAACGATAAACATATATTCGTTCCACTTATCGTTGACCTGTTTGATAAAATCGCACAATTCGAGATGCTTACAAATTAAATTGTCTATATCTCGCTTCGAACATCTAACGAAAAGCCGTAGCAATCGACGAGACAAAACTTTGAATCTTTCGATAAACGCAAATCCCGCCGCATGAATAACCGACATCGCCCACATGCATAGAGCAAATTCGTAAATGAAACAGACATTAATATAAACGGCGCAAAAGAGAGCTCTTCCGTAACTCGATTTACGTTCCACGACATTGCTAATTGCATACGTTAATATAATTACATAGGGAACCAAAACGAAGCAATACATTATTAATAGGATGTTTTGCATTGTGATTTGTTTCTTGCGAATTTTTTCTTTTTCTCCGCGATAACCGGAGTTTCGGAGATCGTATACAAGTTTAGCTCTTCTTCCATTTTGTGCCATTAATGCCATGCTGAAGGAAAAGCAGGCAAATATTCCTTTCATGAATGGTGCGTTATCTTGTCCACCAAAATCTTTAATCGGACTACATGCGATGATTTCGCCATCAAATGAAATTGTATGAATACATAGCATTGCCGTATGACTGAAGAGAATTGCTTCTATTATTTTTCCGTAAATAGACATAATTTTGCTTTGTGTGGGAGATAATTGATGTTTTTCGCATCGTTCGGCGAAATTATCAAAGAAAATTAGCCCAATTCTGTAAGATGGATAAAGCATGCAATACAAGCAGTCTTCCTCCATTTTCTATCATAAATGGCTTAAAATTGCCTGTTACAGAAATCAAAAGGACAATAATAATTGATAGATTACGCATTACTCATGCAATGCTAATATATATTAATATTATACAATCGTTTTAATGTTTATAAATTGAAATGACTTCTCTTGGATCTACAATGAGACTGTTATATCAGAGTAAGTTTGTCTATAAAGATTTATATACATAATTATAGTTTATGAATAAGCAATAAATATTTTATTATGGCCTAAACATCGAAATGAGATTATAAATGATTTATTTAACTATCAAAATATGTCTAATGGAAGACATATTTCTCTTCTATGTAATAACTTACATCATGAACTATAATTTCGGCTCGTGCAGTAAATCAAAATTTTGTTGATACTTCTAACTCGTGTTATTATTTTATCAATATATATTGTCGTTAATTTCATGTTAATTAATATTATGAAATTAAATGAGCAAGATGTAATTGAATTGAACAAAATCACATATTGAGGTTGATATTGCATTCGAGATTATAAACCAGAACTGTGAAATTGTTCATCCCTATTCTTCAGATGAAAATATTATAAACCATTGAATAATTTTGCATACTCGACAGAACAACACCAGATATTTTTCAGTGTATTTTGTTCTTGTCACGTTTATGAAACATATTCAAATACGATTTCTAAATAAATATTTAGTAGAACGATCAGCACTTGCCTTCAATTCAGTACGCGAATTAAAGACAGCGACCATACGTAAAGTGTATAAGAAGCAAAATAACAAGAGTAAGTATTGCAATTCAAAAATGTTATTAGGAAAGAAATGTTATAAATTAATATGTCGCCATTTATCTCTATTATTCATAATTTTTACAATTATGTAAATACTATTTTTCCTTTCCTGACTGTTATATATAACAGAGGGTACAGTACATATGTGTGGCACGATTTTTCTTCACGCTCTTTGAAGCTTAATAAATAACTCCAGTTCTCTTTGTCGATAATATGTGAAATTTTGAGGGTCGTTTGTAAGTTTTAAAGATTGATGCTATTAATATGGAAAAAATGCAGGTTTTCGAAGTGATATCGATAAATACAGATGCATTCGTTTTGTTAGGAAGTGTGTTACTTTGGCATTATGTTTTAATTATTTTTGCTGTAATATAACAGACATTAATTCAGTTCTACTCAGGCAATCTATCAACAAAACTGACCTACAGGTAAGGAATGTAAAAATGTTTAACATAAGTTAGATTATTAAGAACTCATTCAGAGTGTTTCTCTATGGAGTAGTTTCTTGAACATGTGATTTTGAACATGGTATGTTAATAAACAATTTAAAAGTATATTTTTGTTGCAACAGAAACCAAAAAATGTAAGCAGTGGAAAGTGAGAACTCATTACATGAATGTAGGAATAGAAGAAAATTATCAGTAATTGAGAAATAAGTATCACTTTTATATCATCGAAGAATAGAAGAAAAATTTTGGAGATAATGAGAGAAGTTTTGAGATAAAAAGGTTTACAAATTGGTGAAATATTGTACAAACAGCAAAAAATTATAAAATTGTGAGATAAATGAAAAAAAAATTATGCAGAACTCTAGTCAGGTATGTACTGTACATTGGTAAACACAGCATGAGTGTTTCACAATGTACAGTATATTCATTTATTAATTATGAAAAAAACATATTACATACATTAATAAATCAAACTCTCTAAATGGCGAACAACAGTATATCTATTCATATCCCTTAGTGTTTTTATTACATGCAATTTATTATATAAAAGTCTACTATCACTGTTCTTATTATAGGAGCATTTCTAGTAGACTTCTATATAATAAATTAACAGTATATCAAATTATATTATTTAAAAACAAATTAAAGAATTTATTGATCTTTATATTTTAGAAGTTATACAAAGTAAAATTAAATTCATAATGATGTTATTGTAAGTTTTAAGAAAATAAAAAAAAAGTAATTGCTCTCATAATTAAAAGGCCACACTTATTTAAGAGCCATTTTTGTGTGTTTTAAAGAATCTAAAGTTCTCTCGATGCATAAGGTTTTACTTTCCAAGCTGTTGTAGAATATAACAGAGAAAGTATGATGATCGGGCAAATTTTGACCCACGATTTTTGCATTTTTAGTCGTTTTTAGATGCCCAAAGATGTGAAATCAATCCTTACCAAAACCTGTGTTCTGTGTTGATCGGCATTTATTAATATTTTACATTATATCTCAGTACTATAAGATTCAAAATTTTTGAAACAAGGCAACATCGTGTTATTTCTATATATATAAGGCAATGATGCTATTAAATTTATGTAATAAAAGGTCGACATAGTTGAGAGATGTAACAAACATTCACACTTCAATTTTTATCACCCCGTATTTATAATTGTAAAATTATATGAAATTGATTTCTATTGATAACAGAAACTACTAATACAGTATAGTCTCGAAAACTCGGCACTCGATAACCCGGCACTTTGGATAACTCGGCCACACCCTGGCAGGGCAAAAAAATCCTTAGTTAATTAATTTTCATTATAGACAGCTTTATGCCTCATAAAGTATTTTTCTGAGGTCTGTCTTATCAGGTAAATTACTGAACACAGTGTATTCATTAATTTTCATTTTCATGTAGTAAAGGCTCTACACCTTCATAAAGGACGTACTTTTCCCTTGTTTAAGGGTATTTGGGCAGTTTATTCTTTGTTGTATTCTCAAGTAAACAATACATACAAGTACAGTGCAGTATTTTCTGAGGAAACACTCATACTTATTTTTTTAACCCCATTCCCGATAACCCGGCATTTTCACAAACTAGGCCATATTACGCCGAGTTTTCGAGACTCTACTGTACTAGTTTTTTGCCTATATTCATAAAGGCAATAATAAATTTCTGTTAAAAAATGATAAATGTATATAAGAACCCTTGTTTAATGGATGAATGTTTGTTTAAATTTACGTGTATTGCTGAACGTGAAGTACGTAATTATATTATATTTCAAGTTTATGTTTCATTTATGCCCATATAAGTCAGCAGTTAATTAACATATTCTAAAGATCTAACATACTCTATAATTTCGTTTCGATTTGTGTTGTGTGATTCAATACATAATTTATCTATAAATTTGGAATCTAATGTTTTGAATTGGAAGCAAGTCGATGGAATTTTTTGTAAGGTAACATTATCATAAAGACCATACAAAAAGAGCAATGCGTAATTTGATAACTTCGGTGATAAATCGGAACACTCCCTGTACGAAAGAGCAGAAAGAAATTCGTGAAAAGTTTCGTGAATAATATCGTAATAGGCTGGACACTTGTATAGAAGTTGAATACGTTCGATGGATTTTAATTTATCTTCATCCTGTAGACACTCTTTTAAACTCTGTTTTGTGATTCTGTTATTATAATTAAGCGGATAGGGGAATGTTCTACTTAATTTAATTAGTAAATCGATTATTTCTTTGGAAATTTTTGTATCCAGTAAGTCGTGTGCTTCGTAATTCGCTTGAAAGTCTTTGGTAATTTGAAACATCATTCGATAATATAAATCAGTCAATCTTTTGATCAATCTGATTCCTTCAACTTGATACAAACCGCATATTATGTTTAACATAAGAGGGCATTCGGCAATACTTTTTAAAAAAGAATTCTGATTGATATGATTTATGAGATTGGCACAACAGGAACTTTGACCTTCGAAAATCGAACGTATGTAAATCTCTTGTTTATCTTCAGTAAATCCTTCAATTGAAATTCGTAAATCCATATTTCGCGTTATGGATTTCACATTGTGTGGGCGACTTGTAATTAATATAGTAATTTTCTCTGAAATTTCTACTGATTCCTCGTTCAGGAGTTTTTCGATTACTTTATTATCTGCAAATTCATCGTAGCCGTCTATCATTATAAGAATGTTTATTTTGTAGTCAAATAAGTCTGGTCTTTCCTCACTTTGAACATTTTCAAATATGGTGTCCATGATTGAGTCCGACAATGTCCTCTCATCCAGTTCGTGTAAGTCAATGATGACAACGAAATAGAAGTGATTTAGATAACCTGCAGGTTCATTTGATGCCCAGTCGAAGGCTATTTTCTTACAAAGCGAAGTTTTACCATATCCAGCATCTCCTATAAGGAGAATTGTCTGGTTTTCATCTTTTTTTGCAAATACCTGTTCTAGACGAAGGATTTCTCCTAATTTGTTTCTTGAAGCATATTCTTCTCTTAATTTCAATTCTACAAAGTACTCCTTTATGGAAAGGTCATTATCCTTGCAATTGTTGTTTCTCACTAAAGATCTCATATAAGCATTCGATCTTTTATAATGATTTTGCAGTCTAGTCCTTGATTTCCGAAGAATTTCTGTAAGAATAATATATTTAGTTAAATTTGTATAAGGAGATAATATATACTTAAATTAGAATATATATATATAATACATTTCAATGATTTGCAATGACTCAGAAAGAAAAGTTATTAATAATATTAAAGAGAGATGGGAATAGTTTTGACTTTCAAGGTGCCGTTATAGATATATTCATACACTATGATTACATCAAAATACTGGCTTGTAATTCGGTGTTAGAACTGAAAAAGACACCGAAAACCCCACGTGGCAAGACGGTTCGGCACAAACCTTCAACATATACCAATAACTAGTTGGTTGATCTACTGTAGGCGTATCCTGAGTATCCAACTGAAAAGATGAAGAGACAGAAAGGTATACTATGATAAAACAGTAAGGTATGCATGGCAGTAGCTCAACTACAACCGATATTGAGGAATCTGAATTAGAACGTGCAAACTCCTATATCACTGTACCCTACCGATAGCGAGAATAAATTCTTGGATACTTTGATTTCATATGTATAAGTGCATTTTTCACATTCAAAAACCCCACCAGTGGCCGAGTGGAACAAATAACTGATAGTAGGTCGCGGGTTTGCCCCTGATCAACAGGCTGAATACTTTGAGTTTTAGGAGTTACTTCAGGTGTTTAACCTTGTGCTTTCTTTCCTACGTGCTCTAGTATTTTGTAACTCTATTTTCACCATCATTCAATATCATTCAATGGTACAGTACACATTAAAATATTTTTGTGTTTTTTATGAAATTTGCAGATGCATGAAATTACCAGGAGTTATTTATTATTAATCAAGTGTTCAACACGTCAAAGATTTTCTTGCAAAGAATTGCTTTATAATCGGCTTGAAGTCAATGGCCTTCACCATGTGATTTTCCATACACGAATGAAAGCCAGTTGAAACACTGTTGCCCCAGTCTTTAAAGTAAAAATTCTCTTGCACGAATGGAAACCATCATTCACGTGAACACTTTGAGTATATATTAAAAATTACGAAGCGCAGATTTCAAGTTCTCCGAAATTACTTTTACTAACAATATAGGGAAAGTCTCTCAACTTTTATGAAGTATTATAATATATTTTATTAAGTGGCTTCTACGCTCGTGGAGCCCCAACAGCCCAGAGTGCCCATGAGTTATGATGGTCCTGATGCTAGAGTGTAAACATGATACATTATTCATTTACATTATCAGCCATATTTCTTAATTATGCTGTTTATAGAAGAAATAAATGATAAATGATTTGTGATTTATATGAAATTTTTTAGGTTAAAATTTCAATCTTAAAAAATCATTCAATATTCTTGTAAATTTTCAATGCCTTATTGCTGAAAAATAATTCAAGAACTTACTGTTTGTTTCAGGATCGCATTCTGTCGTGATGTTTTGGGTTCCAATATGTAATGTTCGAGGACTGTTAACTGTAATTTGGTACGTTTCTGTAGCCATACCTATAAAAATAATGCTAATTTTCATTTAAAAATATCATCAGGTCTACCGAAATTTACATTTATATAGTGTAAATGATAAAATACGACATTAAAAATTTTACTTCTATATGAAAAAATCAAACTGCAAGATTAGTAAATGTTCAATTCACATTTGCATAAATATCTTTCTGGTTTCTCCATTCCTGTATAGCAGTTTGAACTTTGGCATCTGATGAACAGTGTTGAATTTTCGAAATGTTGATATCAGTTGTAGGCGGTAAGGATAAAGAGAATAAGCAATAAGCTTCATAGTAAAGTAAGAAAAAAGAGAGCAACTAAATGTATGAGATAGGATTGTTACAAAATAAAGAAGAAATAAAATACAATCAGCAATATGAAGAGAACAAATATAAAAAATTAATTAAAAAATTTCAATACCCAACTAAATAAAACATAAAAGTTGGAAAGAAGCTCTTATACTAAACAAAACAGGAATAAACCTACCAATAAACATCAAGGAAATACTATACAGATGATTAGATTTCAACGGCCCCAATAAATGGGACGTCTTAAATATAATATCAAATCTGGACAAAATGTGTAATAATCTACCAGAAACAGAATCAACTATCATGAAAAGTAAACTAAGTAATAAAATTAAACCATATATAACTAAAGAAAGAAACAAAACAATAATAAAAGAACCAAGCTATCTTCAATATAAGACCCAAATCCAAGAGCTGAATAACTTTTTAAGAGATAACGCATTAGAAATTATTAAAGCTGACAAATCAAAACAAACAGTAATAGTTAACCAAGAATGGACAAGAAATAAAAAATAAAAAATTGTAGCCAATAATAATTTTAAAAAGCTACCTATAAACCCTATAGACGTAATATATTTAGAACTTAAGAAAAGAATTAATTAATAAACTCGAAAAACTTAATAATATTACTAAAAACAGAAAAATGGTTCATACTAAACGAAGAAAATAACCGTATACCAAAACTAAATATAAAATCGACTCAACTAATAAAGGAATTTGATGGAAAATTTGCTATGTGTCTTTGGAATAAAACACAATACTAGTGTTTACTACGCCACAATTATAAAACAGGACACAATTTCAAAAAACAAATAAATAAAATCAACCTTAAAACCCTACTCAGTATAGGGGAGACCGGGGCAAGATCGGCATGTTAAGCTTTACTTAAATTTTGTGTAATAAATACTGCTGTAAACTGAAAAAAAAGCTTTGCATATTGTCTATTGGAATGTTACCTTACTATAAAACTGGTTAAAATCAGTTTGGAAATAAAAATAATTAAAATAATTACAACTTTACAAGAAGAGAGAAATTGACGAAGTTGCCCCGGGTATAGGGGCAAGATCGGCAACTTCTCTCTTTTTGTAAAGTTGTAATTATTTTAATTATTTTTATTAAAGTTGCCCCTGGTATAGGGGCAACAGTAATGGGGCAAGATAGCCACGTATATAAAATTATGTTATTAACAATGTATAAGTTGGAATTCACTATTAAAACAAAGAAATACAAATCCAACACCCATTTAATATTATTACAACGAAATGCAAGTTCAAAGACATATATACATGAATAACAAATGCAAACATGTTTTCATTTATCATCTGTTTGATTTTTATCCTTTGCTTCTAATGTGGCTTTATGTTGCCGATCTTACCCCGCTAGTCATAATTTCGAAACATTAAGTACAACCCTGAGAACAGAATGCCAAGCCACGATCTGGCCACGTGAATAAGTTGAAGTTACATCCTTCTAACAGGAAAAGTAACTTTCGTTATCATGGAATTATAAAAATATTATATGGAATTCAACGAAAATGAAAATTTGCTTGATAATTCAACTACGCTTGTTGGAGAACAATAAAAACACTACACTCAACAAGCCACAAATAAAACTCAACTGCCTGACCTATAACCAAAGTCTTCTTTTAATTTGTTTTTAAAAAAAAAGCGCTTGACAAACTTGCCCCGCATGCCGAAGTTGCCCCGGTCTCCCCTATACACGACCCCCATTATCTCCCCACCCATTTTACATTTTACAGCCAGAATTTATTTTTAAATTTTCGCTGGATGATAAAATTTTCTTTAAAAAATAAAGACGTAGTCGTTTCCAAAAAATTCTTCGGTGATCATCATATTTCTTATAAATGTTCCTTAGTAAAAACTTAATAAAAAGCAATCATTTAAAAAAAATTAATACTTTTTAATTGGTTGTTTCTATGTTTTAAGGAACTTTTGCCAGGAAGGCCACGTAGCCTAAAAAGGAAAGTCGGGTCGTCTGAAGTTTTTACTAAGGAACATTTAAAAGAAATATGATCACCCAAGAATTTTTTGGAAACGACTACGTTTTTACTTTTCAAAGCCAAAATTTATTTGCATTAATCCCCCTAGTATACAAACTTCCCTTGCAAATTTTCGACATATAGGACAGGAGTTATTAACCCACTCACAGCCTTATTCACGACTAAAGTTAGGACGTCTAGGCCCTGAAAGTCATATATAAACACTTACATAAATTATATCTTATGACTTTTAGTGCTAAGATGCCCTAGCTCAACCAAGGATAAAAACACTTAAACTAAGTTCAGACACAACCTTGTAACAGCGTGAATTATTACATGTGAAAGCAGCCATTTTATGGAAGCAATGTGAATACGTCTATTTTGAATTAAAAAATCGGTTAGACTGAAGCAAAAAGTATCCAGCTAAAAAAGGTCTTAAATATAATATTAACGAATAGACAGATACATCTAGACGTAATTTGACACGCTGAATCGATTGGTATTAAAAAAAATTACTTACGATCGACCGTTTAAATATTACGAACGATTTTTTATTTCCGGCTATTTGCTTCGTTTAAGAACAACTTTATTAAGAAACACGCAGGTACTCGTCGATATTAACAAAACGAATTACTTTAATTAATACACCATAATACATTCCATCTACGGGAGAATACGACATTAAAAATGCTAAAATGGTGTCGTTAGCCAGTGAACACGCGTAACCACGACAAGGGTGTAGGGACAATTGACGGAGGGAAATTTTCCCTCACAGGTGGACATGTCGAGCGTGACATCACTTCCACAATTCGCTACACACACGTGAGCGGTAACAGAAATAGTTGACACGATAATATAATTATTATATATTATTTAAAACAAAATTAAAAATTTAATACAGAATTTAGTTTTCCTCATGTTACTTTGTAACAACATTAACATCTTTAGTCCTTTATCCCAAGAAATCCGAGAATTGTTTGAACTGTTAGCTATTACCTAAGGGTTGGAACCTCTGTATAAGATAAATATGGAAACTAATCCACACAAAAAACTGTTCTTTATGTGGATGGTTGTTGGTAGATTATATTATTTTAGTGATATTTTTATTAGTTCGATGTGAAGAAGTGAAATTATTTTTATGGTATAAATATTTGTTTAATTTATGTTTTCGTGTATTTAAGAAACAGGGATAATCGTTATTTACTGTGCAACGAATAAATACAATTATGTTTGGTAGCATAATTTTGTTAAAGTGGATTATTATACGATTATAGATGAATAGAGATGTGAAGTAGAAAATTTTATAATGGATGTCTGTATAGAGTCAATATTTCAGGATTTAACTTCAGGATTTAACTTTTTTTACTTTTAGTAAAAATTTTAATGATGATAACTGTATAGAAATATGTTTTAAACTTGGGTTAATGCCAGATTTCCATGACTCTACCTTACTTATATCATGTCCAAAATGTGACGGTAATATGAGGATTGCTAAGCATCGATCATCCAAATTTGGTTACAGATTCTTTTGTAATAATAGAGTAGATGGAGTAAAATGTAATAATAGAATTTCAGTTTCAGAAAACACTTGGTTCTCGGGGACAAAATTAACCGTGTTAGAAGTATTAAAAGTAACTTTTTGTTTCATTTGTGGATTGCCTGTTACACAGGTTGCACTACATACGAATATTTCTGAACACACGGCAATCCTGGCACGGCAGACTGGTACAGTTTCTGCAGGGAAGTGTGTGTAATAACGATGATGAATAACTTAGAAAATAAAAAAATTGGAGGTAAAGGTTTGGTTGTAGAAGTTGACGAAGCACATTTATGCACTAGGAAGTACAACAGAGGCAGGATTTTAATATCCGAACAAGATTGGATTTTTGGAGGAATATGCAGGCAAAATAGGGAAAGCTTTTTAGAGTAGCAGATAGGAAGAAGAGCACACTTATTCCTCTCCTTCTAAAATATGTGGATGAGCAGTCTATAATTATTACAGAATGTGCTAGAGTATATCAGGGTCTAGAAAAGTATGGGTTTTCGGAACATTACACCGTTTGCCACAAAGAGTATTTTGTCCACCCTAAAAATAAAGATGTTCATATCAACACCATTGAACGTCACTGGCGATCTGTTAAGAGTACAGTAGACCCCCCTATAACGCTTAGATACGTTCCACGTTAATCGAATTTTACGTTGTAGGAACGATTAAATACATGAGCCAATCGCAGGTATGAAGTTGGAAGTAGCCCGATGGGTGTGAAGTTTACGGACTAAGGCTGTTTGAAAGGTTTTCTTCTATAAAATCAACCGATTCTAGACAAATTTCACTCAACATTTCCAAAACACGTATAATTTTTTGGGAATAATCTGTATAAACTATGCTATAAGCAAAAAATTATAGGATTACTTACCGAGAGTGCACCGTTCGACTACGCCGTTGCTCAAAGCTTGTTTTCGTCGCGGAACAGCACACGAAACGCCGGCCGCGATTTCTGATAAATAATTTTTCGCAAAAAAATAACTTGACCTTTGGAGACATCATTAATATAAATAATTTTTATGGCCGTTGAATAAGAAATGTTTCTTTCACAAAAAATGTATAAAATTAGTGCTGTATTAGACTTACGGTACCTAATTTACATACTGTACAGACGATAATAAACTCAACCTATTGCCTAAAATCTCCGTAGCGTGGCGCCACGCTAGACGGCGGAAATTATATATTTAATTATAATAAAGTTACAATAAGTTAATATATAATTATATGTACAGTACCTAATTTATATATAATACTGTACAGACGATAGCAAACTCAATTTAGCCGCTCCGTAGCGTGGCGCAGGACGGAGGAAAGTAGTTCGGCTGCTCATCCACTATTGGTCCAGATTCTATCAATCTTGTCGCGAAACGAGTCGGCGACGACGTTTTAGGAGCTCCTTTATACGAATGTTGCTGCAATTTTTTCGCTACGTTATAGGAATTTCTGTTATAAGAACGCACGTTATGGGGGAGTCGACTGTAATGTCAAAAGTTATGATTATGAAATGGTGGATCAGTATTTAGGAAAACTTTTATATTTTGAGAAGTATTTTAAAAATGAAGAAGGGAAATTTATCAATGATTTTGGATTTAGATTTAAAACTTTTCTAAATCATATTAAACAAATATATCCAGGAATGGTAAAGGCAAAAAGGCAATTGCCGTCATTAGAATATGAACCTGCCTGTAAGATTAAAAAATTAAATGTATATAATTTTGAGGAGTGTAAAATAAAATGTAAAAATAATGTAGTTGCTAATAAAAAACTAAAAAATACGGTATATCTTAATAAAAATATAAAAAGTACTATAGTTCATAATGAAAATCTACAAAGTATTCGAAACAATATAGGAAAACAAGAAAGTTATACAGAAAACTATAAATTAAAAACTGATAGAAAAATATTTTAAAAGAATTACTACGTACGAGTACTTTAGCAACTGTATCAGCAATTCTCGAAAATTATAATGATAAAATTACTTCGAAATGCTAAGATTAGTGCTTTTGATAAGGTGAAATATGAAATAGATTATCCTAGTTATGATATACTACACCCGTTATTTTTAACTGAATTTCATCCTGTTTCCGTTTTAGGTGACGGTGATAGTTTTTATTCATCCGTGTCAGTTCTTCTGTTCGGAGATAGTACGTTTGTTGAATTATTCAGATTATGCACACTTTATTATTTCGTAAAATATAAAAGCAACATGCATTTACTGATTGAAGAGAACCAAATGCAGGTAACTTTGGAACACATGGCCCGTGGAATAAGTGTTAGCAATAGACTTTTTAATGTGGCAAAAGAGAAATATCCATCGATTTCGCACACAGATATTTGGGCCAATTCTATATCTATTTATAGTTGCGCAATAGCATTAGGTCGACCAATTTACATATACAGTGGGTGATCGGTTAACGAACATAATCCGTTCCAAGACTTTGTTCGCTATCCGAATTGTTCGTTAACCGATTATCGATTTACCATAGGTTTTAATGGGAATTTAATTAATTCGTTCTGGACACTCCCCAAAATAAAAAATATACACTTTCTTACTACGTTTATTTATATGTAATAATAAAAATACATATGTACACAGTCTTGCGTTAAAGAAGGGTTAAAGAATCTGTCTAATGTCGATTGCTTTTCTCTCTTCTTCAGGATTTTTCGTAAGTAATTAATAGCATTGCAATTGTAGAAATCCTCAAGACTCAACCTGGTTTGGATGCCATTTTAAGACCGTTGTTCTGACATCATCCTACTTCTTTACAAGATCTTTAATAGCAGATATCGGCATAAGTCCGCATTTTCAGAAGAAAACATATCTCGCCGAGTTTTTTGGTGTTCTTCATTCAAGAGTTCTTGGCGTTCTTCTGTCGTCAGATCCGTTTCAGGTTCCATTACGAACTCTTCGATGTTCTTTATTTCTCATATGTGATTTTTGTTACTCCTTTAGCTGCTTGAGTCTTCTTGATTATACAGTATTTTTCTTAAATAAGATTGAACTGCGGCCTACTGTAGACCTGTTCACGCCATACTGCCCAGCAACATTAGGCATCTTCTGCCCACTCTCTACCTTTGCTATTATACTCTCACCTTTCGAAAAGAAAAACAGACGCAAAACTTAACGAGTGCCTACCCGACAGTCTCGCGAATACATAAAAGAATTGTTTTGTCAGAAAAATAAAAGGCTGGAATTACAAGGGAGAGTTTCAAAGTTCGGAGGAATACTATCCGATCGGTATATACCGGCTTGAGCGTCGATGTCGACGTCTCCCACACTCCGAAAAGTTTCGAATTGTTGCCCGAAGACAAGGAAAGTCCAATTGGTATTCGTTATTTTACGTCGCTTGTTTGTTCTGTGGGATGTTCGTTATCCGATCATGTGTTCGTTGACCGAACATAAAAATCTTTCGCGAAAGTGTTCGTTATCCGATTTGTTCGTTGTCCGATCTGTTCGTTAACCGATCACCCACTGTATTTAGCTTTGAGGTCTAGTAAAGGCATGTTTTTAAATGCAGTAAATAATCCAGAATAACTTTCTGAAACTATTAGAGGCAGCTTTTTGCAGTTGGAAAATGATGCATTTGCAGAGCATACACCAGTTAGAGTAGTATTATATCAACAGCATTATAGTCCCATTCTTTCAGTAGTTAATAACCCATGTGAATTTAAACCCACAAACAACTTTTCCCTCTTTAGCATTAGAGCAGATAGATTTATTCTGATAGGTTATATAGTTTAGTAAATATAATAAAATAATAAGCTGCTTTACTGGAGTTCACTTTATTAACAAGTTTCTCTAAAATATTTTCTTATAACTAACTTTATCGTCAGGAAACGCACAAGTAAATTAGCTTAATAGCAGCGAGTCACCTTTATTCCATTCTTACTTATACTGGATAGGAGAAGCTAACCCAAAATAGTACACTAGATTTTTTTGTCATTTTTAGTCAGATTAATTGTGCAACACATTCGCAGTATGTTATAGTGCCATCTTTGGGCACTGTTTTCTCCATTCTCGCTATCCTAACTGTCCTTTCGCTATTCTTTACTGCACTCTATCCTACTAATCTTCCCTTCCTGTTGGGAGGCTTTATGCTACTGTTGCCTGGCTATGAGTTAGGCAATGGCACTGCATCAACCAGGTAGCCATTACTGTCTCCCGGTGCAGGATGTGGCTTTCTTCCCCTTGACTTGGTGCACTTGGTAATCCCGCAGCCACTTCGATGGGTGATGTGCACCGCCTATCTCTTATTCTTCACTGTCTTTCTACTAGCAATTTTTCACCTCACCCACTCTGGTCACTCACCCCAAGGGCGGACTGGCCATGTAGAAAATGTGGAAAATTGTTAAGTAAGATGTATAATATAGATATATGTGTAGGCCTATTTCATTTTATCCGGCCCTACCCGTATCCGAAGTTAAATTAGTTCGACCGATCTGAACCAAACACTACATTAGCCCAAACAGAAAGCATTCTAGGAGAAAAATAATCAAAACTACCTTCTAAACAGAGAAAATTGGTCATTTATTTACATTGCTAGAAACTATACACAACTCCTATGAATCTTAATGCTAAACTATAGAAATGCGAGTTATTAGTTTTGTACCTAGCCACCAAAGCGATGATTGTAGTCATAACAAATTTAATGGCCACTTACATTATTTTCTTTATTTTAGGTAAGTAAAAAATGTTATTCAATAATAATTTCTTTATATTCCAAACGATTTAATTAAAAATAATCTATTTTGTAGTGTGAGGCCGGGACCTCACCCCCTCCTCAATAGGAAACTGGTTGTCGAGCTAAAGCTAATAAATCGGTGATTTATTTCGTAAACAAAAACGAGTGTAAGACGATTTAATTGTCGCATTCCCGGACCAAATTCACACGTCTTCGATCTAGATCAGGGAAAGTGGGAGAGAGAGCAACAGGGGAGAGTTCGACTGTCATCTTACAACGAGTTCAAAGCACATTAGACCAAAATTTACGGGACCGTCACTAAATATTCCTGAATACGCATTTCAAAAATTCAGCATTTTAATACAGTTTAATCCAGTGACTACTCAACACGATATTATTTCAGAATTGCAACATTTTAAATCGTCATGGATTATTTTAAAGAAAAATGTCAATGAAACGAAAATGAACATTCTACTGATGATCAAACAGAAACTAATAAAAATGCGATTTTATCCTCTTAAGTAGTATATAAATGTATGTTCTGCCCCACAAATTTAAGATTTTTAAAATCATATGAATTTAATCAAATCAATATTAAAAATCATAAAATCAATAGTAAAAATTAACTAAATTTAAAAACTGTTGAAATCTCATTCACTTATTATAAAATTCACTAAATTTTAAAATCTCATTAATTTTTACAAAATTCACTAAATTTAATCACACTGATTTATTTAAAACCAGTTTAAAAAAATATATATTTAAAAAAAGTTAAACAAACTCAATAATATGAGCTTTATAATTTTTCCCTCGATCTTCCATTCCCTTAAAAACAAATTTAGAATCAGACATTTTCTCAAAATATTTATCTTCTAATTTATTAAATCGATCAGGTAGAAAAACTTGAAATTCTTCACCCTCAAGAACTACTAATTTTTTATCACCAAAGCGAGTGGATATTGTTTTAATATAATCAATTGAATATTCATAATTAATTTCCAACTCATATAATTTCTTTGTTGGAATATTTTGAAGTTTACCAATATTGTTTAGTTTCTTCTTTATTTCCATTTATATTGGAAAAAAATTTATCTAATATATTTGTTAAAAATTTCAATATAGGAAACTATCTATCAATATGTAAAAATTATTTATTACAAATTCTTGCCAACAATGAAACAACTATATTTTTATAATTATTTTCAACAAATTTGTCAAAGAACTTTTTATTCAAAGTAGCATCACACCAATCAATTTTGTTTTTATGTTTTATAATAAGATCTTCGGATAATTCTTGATATTTAACAACTATTTTCCAGTCTAACACTTTTAAACGATCTAAGTCTTCAAGTAATTGTTCTGATATGGTTTGATATCTTAAAATTAATTTTAAATTTAATTTTAGAGCATATTTCCTAATAAACTCATTATCTAATTTTTGATATTGAGATATAGCATCCCAATCCACTTTATTTTTATATTCTTCAATAAATTCGGAAGATAATTTTTGATGAGTAGAGATGAGTTTCCAATCAACCTTTTCATTATATTGTCTTATAAAGTTTTCAGAGAGGGTTTGATGTTCTGATATTTTTTTCCAGTTTACTCTATCTTTAAATTCAATAATAAAAATTTCAGACAATTTTTGATTAAAAGATATTGAATCCCAATTAACCCTATCTTTAAATTCTATTATAAAACCTTCTGATAATTTTTGATATATAGAAATCAAATCCCAGTTAACTTCATCTTTAAATTCTCTTATTAAATCTTCTGATAAATTCTCTCGTTTTGAAAAATTATCCCAATTGATAGCCCTCTTTATTCTAGAGTCCATTTATATAAGACAATTTTTTTTAATTTATAATGACCTAATGCTAATGTATTAACTCCATCCTTTAATATATATCTCTTATCATCATGTGGTGATAAAACCTTCTTGTTAACTTCTATTGAATAAAGTTCATGTTTCTTGCTTCTAATTAGATTCATTGTTCTAGAATGTTCTGTTTTATTAAATAAACAGTCTTTATAACCATCAAATGATATCTTATTTTTAACAACACATTTCTTTACTCCTTTTGATTTCTTTGTAACCTAATCTTCTACTTTTAAAGCATACATTTTTTATCTTAAACCAACAAATTCTCTCATTATTTTTATCCTTCATTTTACCTAACACCTTCTTATTAACTCTCGGTATACCATATTGATTATTCTCAGAATAATCGGATGTATAAAAGTAATCAATCATTCCCTTCATATCCTGATAAATATCATCTGTTTTTATATCATATATATAACTGTCCGTATCCTGATATAACAATTTCGTTATCTCTATATTTTGGTTTCATCACATTATAATGAAAATCATACATCAAATGCTTCGAAAGATCTAATATACTCATTCCCACATAGATGGGTTTATTAAAGACTATTTTTTTCTTATACATGTGAATAGCACATAGGTTTTCGGTATATATGGTTCGATGTTTAAAGTTCGGCTTTGCGATTAATTTTTTTACTTTTTGGGGGTCACAAGATAATCTTATATCAACACGATTTCTTATATTTTCCATTGTCTTTCCAAACACAGAGTTATTCATTAGTTTAAAAAAGTCCTTTTTGAAATCATTAGTTGCTTTAGTTCTCATTTCTGTATTCAGATCTATGTATTTCTTTAACAAATCTGATTGCTTGAATTCTGATACTCTATGTATCTTTTTGAGTTTTATCCCCATTTTTAAATATTGTTTAAGATTTCTATAATGAAGCACATACTTCTGTTTATCATATAATGTGGTTAATAATTTAGATTGTTTTGATTCATCTGGTATTCTGTTCTCTGGAGCTAAAGGGAGATCAGAATGATAATCATGTAATTCTTTTGGATATTCCAGATCAACTTCTAATATATATCCTTTTTTATTCTTATCAGGAATATTCATTCAGGGATATTCATCTCTACTAACATTTTTACTACATCAGGCCGTCTGTATATAACTGGTTCCTTATATTCTCCATGTACTGGTACATACATTATGTAATAAGAAAAACTCATTAATTCATGATGTTGATATTTCATTGTATAAGACTTAGATGGATCTGGTTGACATGTTTCCATTTTCTTAGTTAAACACTCAGAGTCAGCATATATTACAAATGGTATCCTCAATGAATTTTTTAAGTTTTCAAAGCAAATACTTCCTCCAATAGTTTGTATTTTCCCCATCTTTTTTCTTTACAATCAGTTTCATGATTCATTAATTGTTCTACTGAATTATATTATGTTAGACATCTTTCACATATATAAATCTTTTCTGTATGCTTTGTTATTTGTGATCTGACTAATCTAGATAGATCTTTTATCAAACAGTAATGTGAATTTTCTTCATTTTTAAAATATAATAAATTTACATGCTTAACTAGTTTATTTTCTGTTATTCTTATAGGATATATATTTCATAATTCTTTTCTTTTTTCTCTTCTTCTTTTTTTATAAACAGCCCATTAAAAGTATAAACATTCACTGATACATTCAATTTTTTTTCACATTTACCTATATCAGATAAAGCAATAGGTGATTTGATTCCTTTAAATTTTTTTTTTTAATTTCATCAATGTTATAATTACTAACTCGATCAGGATTATGATTGTTTTTTCCTACTGGATTTAAATATGAAGCCATGCAATAAACAAAACATTCTTGATCTTTATTCTTAATATTCAATACAGCTTTCTTGTCTTTGATTGTTTTTGGTAATTCAATGTAAGATTATCCTCTAAATGTAACATATTTATTAATTCTTAGCTGTAAATTATATATTTCTATTAAAGACCATCCAGATCCTTTTGCTTCAAATTCATCCATCTCTCTTATTAGTTTATCAATCACTCTATTATAAAAAGCATTCAAATCTGTTGATTCTAAAATAATCTCATTCTGAGTTTTAAATGAAAAACCATTGTTCTCATTTTCTCTTTGATACTCACAGAAAACTTCGAAATTTACTTTCAAGTTCATATTTTCCAGTATCTCTGATATCTTACTAATAACTTTCTCTCTCACATCTTCTAAAAATTCTCTTGGTATGATAAGATTAGTCTCATTCCTAATTGAATATGTTTTTAATCTTGATTCAAATGCTGTCTCAATCTCTTGGATAGGTTCACCATTGTATAATGCATTCATATGTTTTCTTTTTTTAATGTAAAGATTCTTATAGGTTGGATTAGATATCACATTTTATTTTTTTTACTCTAGGTTCTCTTGGTTCTAAAAAAATATCTTCATCAAAGTTAAATATTTCATTTAATTTATGTCTTTCTCTTGGTTTTGTTATAATATCTTCATGAAAGTTAAATATATTACTAATTATATTTTTTCCTCTTGGATTTATTATAACATCATCATCAAAGTTAAATATATTACTAAATTTATATCTCTCTATAAAATCAATCAAGCTGCTTTCCTTAATCTTGAATAACCTCTAAGATTATTATCTCTACAAAATTGACGCAGCTGTTGAATGGTTTCTCTTTGTCTATAATTTTTATTAGTTTGTGATTGTCCATAATCTATATATATAAAAATGAATGTATGTCTGTCTGTGTGTCTGTCTTATGTCCTTCATGCATTACCACACCGTTTATCCGATTGCCATGAAACTTTGGGAAGTTGTTTAATATACTCCCGCGAAGGTTTGTGGCATAGTACGATTGCCACGTAGCTTTGGGAAGTTTTTTAATACACTCCCGCGAAGTTTTCTGGCATTTAGCCTACGATAAATGGCGCGTGTTTACACGAGCATTCGCACACAGTGTGTTCGATCGATTTCAAATTGTGAAGACCATTTCCCTCCTTCAAAAAATATCTCTATATATGCATTTGTGAACTGTTATTTACGATATTTGTAATAATTTTTGTTTAATCACTTTATTTCAACTTTTTTTTGCTAATTATGTATTCGCTCGAACTTCGTTAAAACCTTAACTGTACCCCGAACAACAACNTTATTAGTTTATATTATAATTAAACAAAACTCCAAATTTAATTAAAATATTCAAATTACAAGAATAGAAAAATGATACTAAAACAAACCACACCATCAATATTGATGACAAAAATGCGGTTAGTATAAATACTGTTTACTTCGTATAGTATATCGCATTGCACTAGTGACGTCATCAGTGTCGTCATAAAAAATAATGACGTCATTGATGACATCATAAAATAATGACGTCATCAGTGATGTTATAAAAATGACGTTAATATAAAAAAATATCAGACTTATCAACCCGATTAAATGAATCGGGATATCCTAACCACTTAACTAAATATTTATTTCCTTTCTTTTTAATTATTTTTTCGATCTTATAAACTTTATCTTTTTTATCATATTTCACTAACTCATTTTCATAAAATGTTCCTTTAATATCTTCATTATTTAAATCTTTAATTCGATAAGTAGTTGGATCCGTCTTCAACACTTCAGATATTATAAATACTTCCTCTGTGTAGGAGGGTAAATAACCTTTCTTAAATGGTTTTTTATATATAGATATTCTAACCGTATCACCTACTTTATATTTAGGAGATTGTGATATATTTTTTTCTTTCAAACAAATTTTCATAAAGTTTCGATTCGTTATCTTCTATACTTGCTTGTACAGGAGTCATTTTTATTGATCTATGATAAGAGTTATTATAATTTTTAATTAATTTATCTAAAACGTCTATCCATTTTTTAGTGTTGTGAGCAGTAAAATATTTCCACATTTTCGTCTTTAGAGTTCTATTAAATCTTTCGACTACTGAGCATTTTATTTCTATATTTTCTGTAGTAAACCAATGAATATTATTATCTTTAAACAACTGTTGCGTCACTTTATTGATAAACTCAGTTCCTTTATCTGTTTGTAGCTTTTCCGGCTTTCTTTCCTTAAATATTTTAGCAAATGCTTTGGATATTTCTTCACCCGTTTTCTTTTTAATTGGAATAGCCCAAGCGTATTTACTAAATATATCAATAACAGTTAATATATAATTTGTATTGTCATTATATCTTTTAAATTTCTGCATATCCACTAAATCTGCTTGCCATTGATCATCAATGTGAGAAACGTAAGTTCTTCTTCTATTAAATTTTCTTATAATCGGTTAATGTTTAGTATATTCATTGTGTTGATGTAAAAATTTTTAAATAACTTTTATAGGTAAACCAGTCTTTCTTTGTAATTCATTTATACCACAGTAACCAGTTTCTGGATTATAATAAACATCCTTGATTGAACTCATAAAAAACAGCTTTTTTAGTACCACAAACGGTACACGTTCCTTTCGCTATAGGTTTATTATTTTTTGTTCTTGTTTCTATAATATTATTTGTTTTTGTTTTCTTTTTACACTTTAAACAATAGATACTATTTATATTGGGAGAAATTCCAAGACCGAATCTCTTCTTTGCACTAATGATTAATTTAAGAATTCCTCTTTTTATTCTTTCTCTAAGTGAGGGGTTTTCTATAGCATCTAATTCATTTAACAAATTTTTATCATAGATTTCATTTCTAGTTTTTGTATCTTTATTTTTTAAATAACAAATATCATGTCTATATGCAGTTTCATCTACTTTGTTTATTGGTTTACTCCATGACTTGTAGGATAAATCAGGATTTAATCTAGTTTTACCCCATAATAGTTGAGTTCTTGGACCCGTAAATGAATGGCCTGGTAAATGCATTTCAAACGGTAATTTGTTTATCATTTCATTAACAGCTCCTTTTCCTCTCTTCATTTATTTATTCAAAAATTTATATCCATTCAATTGTGCTTTCTTTATATATTTCTCTAACGGGAAATATTTCATATTTTTAAAAAACTGTTCTTCTCTCAAATACACGTCAGATTCTGATATGTTCCCAGATTTGAATAGATTTAATAGCTGTTTATAAAATTTAAATGCTTGCTTGTATTCCTCCTTTCTTTCCGATAGTTTTAATGACTTATCTATAACTTCATTATTCCGGCTCCTAAGCTTAATACTGCTAACGGAACTATAACAAACGCAGATAGACCAGAAGAACTAAATATAAATTTTCCAACTGTTAATGATACACTAATTATATGATAATCATTATAACTCTTTCTGTAAACATATATTTTCTTTTCTAAGTATTCTTCCATTTATAAAGGAGTAAAATTACGTCGAAATTTTATATTTGGGTTTTTAAGATCTAGCATAAAGAAATCGTATTGCTTTTGAGTAGCTTTACTATATAAATTTATACAAAATGATCCATCTATTTCTCTAATTATCTGTTTAATTTCTCTATCTTGAATCTTGAAGAAAATAATATAATTACAATTTTTTCTTATATCAATTGGTGTTGAATAATAGGATTGAAATACGTAAATAATTGAAGCATTTTTCTTCCTTCCTCTGATAAAGAAATCTACAATTTTAGATTGATCTTTTTCAGTAATACAATCATCAAAAATAATCAAATTTTTTATTGATGGATCTAAACTATCAACGTCAATCACATTATCTATGTTATTAGTAAATAATGTTTCCTTTTTTAAATTTATGAAACAATTTAAGTAGTTTATATTTCTCTTTACTTTTCAAACTTATAATATCTTCCTCTTCAACATCATCAAATTGTGTAAAATTCTCTTGTAATTTTTGATATTTAGGTTCGAATATATCTTTAGCACATACATATAAAGCATCGAAATTCAGTTGATCATAAATTAGATTTAATAAGAGATTTGTTTTTCCACATCCTGATGGACCAACGATTAAGAGTCTAAATGGATGTTTAGGTAATAATGGATTCTGATTAGGATCTTCATATTCATCTGGTTCTGTATAATCTTTTATCTTAATCATTTATTTGTCTAAAAATTTCAGCTTAATATTTAACTTGAGCTAAATGTTATTTAACTTAAGCTAAAAGATATTTAACTTGAGCTAAAAGATATTTAACTTGAGATAATTTTTTTAGCTTAGTAAATAAGAATGAAAGCGTTACTTACTTTAGCTAAGCTGAACAGAGCAATAAGAAAGAAAAATAAAGAACAATTACTAGGTAAAACAAGATATGAAGAAAGTCTTTCCGAGTTTCATAAACCAGTTACAGAGATATTAGAGTTTCCTATTCAAGATGTTAGACAAGATTTAAAAGCTATTGAAGATGCTATTCATAATATAACAATTCCTTCTACTATTGATTCTTCACTTCCTCAACTTCCAGAAAAGTTCCAGAAAGTTCCTCAACTTCTACTAAAGTTGATTATCCTTCATCAACTTTAGTAGAATCCACACCAAAAAAGTAGTAGAGATATACTCCAGAAGACCTAGATGAAGGATTAGATCAGGGGTGTCCAACACGCGGCCCAAGGCAAGTTTTAATGCGGCCCAATAAACGTGTAAACAAAACCGACAAATGTTTTCATTTATTATTATTTATTTATTTCAACGGCGTAAACTCAAAAAAAAGTTTCACAAAGCCGTAAACCTTTATTCATATTTTATTTTTGAGTAAATAGAAAATATTTTCAAATACTATTCTTGGAGATGTGTAAATGCGTTAGGATTACTAAAGAAAGCTGGAGTTGTGACTCAGGATTATAGACTCAAATTTGGGAAAAGAAGGGAAGAATGAGAAAGGACAAAAGATGTAGTAGTGAGAAAGGTTAAATAGATCTACTGTTCATCAAATATGGACCCGTAACTTCTCAATTTTTT